TCGACTGAAAAGGCTTTCATCGTTGCTATATGTAATTGCTTAATACGACACAGATGCAAAGTTTTATTCTTCTACATATCATGCTACATGCAGCATTCTTATATCGGTATGACATGGAACTCAGTCATCATATTTAAAAGTACACATACTTTCTGCACACGGGATCCACTTCATCACGTTGAAGAATGAAGCAGTTGCCGGTGGAGCAGGTGTAATTTCCATTTCCAGGAGGATACGTTGTGCACAGTTGCAAGCCCTGTAATACAGGTAATACATAAGGGTGTCATAGGATAACTAGGTTTTATGACATAAAAATGAGTAAAGTTGCAACTACTGCTCTAATCTTGTCTCCTAAACAGTAGTTTTTCAGACACTGACCTCCTTGTACGAGATTCCAGCACAGTTCTTGTCCTCATAGCACTTAGCAAAGCATTTATCAGCACTCGTTTCCGAATATGAGGACCAAGCCTCGGTTCCGATGCCGGAAAGTACTTCCACTTTGTCAAAAACGCAGGATAGAGTTTCCTGTGTTTGAAAGAAAATATTCGTTTGGAAACCAAGAAGATATTTGGCAAATGAAAGTTTACCTGAATGATGAACAGGAAGAGAATTAGCCTCTTCATACTGGCTCAGAATCTACCTTGAGACAGCAAGGCCTAAGTATGATGGAAACGTTAGGTCCAAAATATAGAGCTGTAATCGTTTCTAGGAGACATGAGCGAAATTAGTAACTATGTGCCTGGTCGTTAATATTCGATATATATTTCAATAAAACTGATGATGATTCTCTTCGACTGAAAGACATCTTCTTCAAATCAGAGCGTTTGGATTTTAAAAAGGCTGCAAAAGAAGGTGCCGTTTGTGGACTTTCCAGGAGAACAGATAGATACCACTGTACTCTAATACAGCGATTTTGATTCACCTTTTCGAAACCAATGAATGGTTGTTGAAGTTTTGAAGCCGCTCTTCATAATATGATCTTGATCAATTTGAAAGTTTTCTAGAATTTCGATCCGACATCAGCGGATAGAACGAAACTTTTTACAATAACACTTTTGTATTTCCACGGCTGGAGTTCTGTTATTCTTTCCTAGTATAACATCCTGAAAACGCGTAGTGTACAATTACAACAAAACGACATCTCTAGAAGGTCCTGCTGAAAGTAAAAAATGCCAAGATACGATTGCGCAGCATAATGACTTGATTGTTGACCATCCATTCGTGGTCTAAAGACTGTACATTAGGTTTGATTATACCGGAAATGACTTCCCAGTCCCAGTCAACTGGAAAAACTCAAAAGCAATAAAAATGAAATTTTCGCAAGGTTTCGGACTTCCTACCTGGACGAGGATTTTATTCAAAAACATCCTAGCTGTTAGGAAGTAAGATTGAACGTCTATAGCAATCGAATTCACGTAAGCCAATACGGTCCTTGTAGGAACGAACTCTAGCACCCCACTAATACAAGGTACTTCTCCGCAATATACAGGGTATCCCAAAAAAATGTTTAGAACTCGT